TTAAGACAAATTTTATAATTTTTATTCAAACTAACAGCGCTTATATAGTAGGTAAAAGCAACGAAACAATTAATACTTTGACATCATATGACGTCAATATGACGTCATAGCAATCTATTCCCCGATCTGGACCCCGTTTTGAAAAACCCTGGATCCGCCACTGCAATCCTCTTTTACATGGACACGGTGCAGCTTGACAAGACTGTTGAACTTCCTCGAGATCAAAAGCCACGAAAAGCAAAGTGTAGTTTTGAGAGCACTTCATATAATCTGTGGAGAGATATAGGTGAGTGTTAAGTGCCTGAGATCATGAGGGTACCGACATAACAATTACAATGTACTGTATTGTCCGACTTATCATCTGTCATTTAAGTAGCATATTCTACGCTGTCGTGTGCCGTGCTGTGTCGTGTCATGTTGTACTGTGCTGTGCTGTCATGCCGTACTGTGCTTATGCCATGCCGTAATGTGCTGTGCCGTAATGTGCTGTGCCGTACTGTGCGGTACTGTGCTGTTTCATGACGTACTGTGCTGTGTAATGCCGTACTGTGCTGTATTGTGCCGTACTGTGCGGTACTGTGCTATGCCATACTGTGCTGTGCTCTCTGTGCTGTGCTCTCTGTGCTGTGCTGTTCTRTTTCATGTTATGCCGTATTGTACCGTACTGTACTATGCTGTGCTGTGCTATGCCGTGCTGTGCAGTGCTGTGCTTACTTGAGCTCTTGTATTGTCTTAGAGCCTGGAGCAAAGCCGTCATACCAGAACCATTGTCATCTACTCCATTTGTTCCTTGCACCGTATCGTAGTGAGTAGCGATGATAAGGATCTTGTCCTTACTCGTCCCAGTGTACCTTCCATTGACACGGCCGATTATATTGATTCCTGGAAACTAGTTACACAAGCTAAAGTCATTAGTACGCGGAGATACCAAAAGCCTCTAACTTTCCTCACTTCAAACTCACGTTTTTCTGGTTAGACGCAAATTCCTCTGTCCACGTGTCCAGTCCAAAGTCCTGGAAGGTCTTCACGATGAAGTCACGTGCTGCAGTTTTTAGTGCTGGAGTCACGTGATTGTTACGTGTGGTGTTGAAGCGTTCGAGATATGAACGGGCACTTTCATCTTGGCTGATGGCAAAACAAGCCTGGAAACCTGAAAAAAGTCAGTACTACAAATCAAAGCAGGTTTTGAGTTTTTTCGTTTTGTACTGTCAGTTTGTCAGTCGGTCAGTCAACCAGTCGGTCGGTCGGTTGGTCGGTCGGTCGGTTGGTCGGTCAGGCAATCAGAATAAATACAAACCATAGCAAAAACAATCCTTTGTTAATACCGTGGGTATCCGAACATTCAAGAAAAGATCTATATTATGGATGTTCAGGCTGAGACTAGATGCCTGAGGAAAGTGTCTTCCAGTAGGGAAAGTGTCTTCCAGTAGGGAAAGTGTCTTCCAG